CTTGTCACCCTCACCACCACCACGTGCCCCTTGGCAGTTGGGCTCAGCCTCCCACCAACCTAGGACCCAGGAGCGCCTGACTCCAACCATCTCACTTCAAACAACTTTACCTCAACCCTCTTTACTTCAAGCATCTGAACCACCCCCTCACTCACCAAACTGTGAGTCGGAGAACTCGTGAATCTGCCCGCCCGCCTTGATCGAAAAGTACGCCCACACATCCGGCTTGCTCCTGAAGCTCAGCTCCTGCACACGTCCACTCGTGGGCTTGAACCCATTTTCCGGGTCTTCACTCGTCACCCTCACCGCCACCACATGCCCCTTGGGCTTGGTGGTAGTCACATCGTCAAAATTGAACGAGTCCAGGTCTGAGCAGCTGCGCCAGTCGCTGGAGCCGCCACCGCCCTGGGCGTAGAAGCGGCGGATCTCGGGGAGGCGGAAGAGCGGGATGCCCATGGCGATGGAGAGCTGCGTTGCTGGCAGGTTCACCCCGGCGATCCACTCCGTCACTGGATGCTCCACCTGGGAGGGGAGGTGGGGTGTGGAGGTAAGGGGGAGGACCAAATAAATTCAGAGAGCAGCACACAGCTATGGCGAAGGAGAGCTGCGTTGCGTCACTGGATGCTCCATCTTGGAGGAGGGGTGGGTTAAGGGGGTAGGAGGAAGGAACGAGTTTGGGTGGACAGGCAGATGGTTAGGCCAATGGAAAGAGCTGCAGTCGCTGGTAGGTTCACCCCAACTAGCCACTCTGTTACCGGATGCTCTGCATGGGAAAGGGGTTACGAAGGGGTTTGAGAGGGTTTACAGGGTCATGAGGGGGTTTAGAAGGGGTTAGGAAAGAAAGAAGCTACGAAGGGGGGAAGAGTTCAATTTGAGAAGATATGGCCGCAAACTTTCCTTAACCTCAGCCACCAGGATAAACCAAGTTTTTTACAAGCAAGCACAAAACCTAACTACACAACGTTTTGCTAAACACAGCTGCTGCCACGCTACGCCATGCCTCCTACGTGGGGATCCATTGGGAAGAGTTCAATTTGAGAAGATATGGCCGCAAACTTTCCTTAACCTCAGCCACCAGGATAAACCAAGGCCAGGACGAGCCTACATGCGGGCCAGGCTAACATGAGCGTACCTGGAGGCGCGGGTTGACTTCGAGGAAGTAGAAGGAGTTGCCGGCCATGCTGTAGAGGTACTCCACCGTCGCCACGCCACAGTACCCCACGATCTTGGCCAGCCGCCGCGCGCCTTGCTCCAGCTCGTGCACCACTTCTGGGGGCGCCACGGTGATCGGCCCCTCCTCTATGATCTGCGCACAGTCAGGGCACAGTCAACGCACAGGCAGGACACTATCAGCACACAATCAGCAAAAAATCAGTGCAGTCAAGTCAGCACGAGATCAGCGCAGTCAACGCAGTCAGCACACAATCAGCGCAGTCAACGCAGTCAGCACACAATCAGCGCAGTCAGCGTACAGTCAGAGATGAGTCAGCAATGAGTCAATAACGGAATCGTAATGGTTCAGCGACGGCTCAGTGAAGAGCATATCAGCGCACCAATAACAGAAGCTGGGCTAGCTGTTCGACTGTGCCTGAAACCTGCCTTCCTCGCAATTATGTTAATGTTTAGCTTGCTAAGCGACTAATCCCCTCATTCACGCTGTCAGACTCTCGCGAATCCACATGGCACAGCATAATAAGCTCCTTCGCGTCTCCTCGTTTTTTGCTTGGCTACTTTCTAACTGTTCGTTCCGTGAACCTTGTACTCGTTATAAGACTCCTCTCACGAACACGAGCGCACCTTCTGATGCCGCCTCTGGATGCTGCAGTCCCTGCTGTGCAGCGCCACCACGTTGCCATACGCGTCGCACGCCAGCTGCACCTCCAAGTGCCGACTCTGCGGAGTAGCGAGTGTGAGGGGCAAAGGGAGAGACAATACCGTCATAAATCTGCAGGGTATTTTCTAGAATTCACCACGTTGCCATACGCGTCACACGCCAGCTGCACCTCCAAGTGCCGACTCTGCGGAGTAGTGCATGCGAGGGGCAAAGGAAGATACAATACAGTCATGGAACTGGCTGAGAGAGGCGTTCTATAAGAGGCGAAGGGGAGACCAGGGCGAAAGGCGGTTTGGAGTTCAAGACTTGTTCGCGGTACACTACGGCCCCAGTGCAGCGCATTGCAGTGTGTGGCGATGCCTCGTTCAAGATTCTCCAAACTCGTGACCAACTTATGCCCTGAACGCGTTTCTGATTTTACCAGAAATCACTTACCAGGGCTGCCACCTTCATGACGAATACAGGCGAGCCGGGCACTTCGCCTTGCACTTGCTTGAATAGGGTTACCACCTCCTCCTCGTTGTGCACCTGCACACACCGCCACAACCAATATGGGAAATATCACTCACAGTCATATTCAACCGACCATTCTAAGCGAAAAATAAGATCGGGACAAGAAATCAACCAATCAAACAAACAACGAAAGAAAGAAACAGTCAGTAAGTTCACCTTGCGGATACCCTTGCCGCCGCCACCCCAGGAGGCCTTGATCATGGCCGGGTAGCCGACGCGGTTGCAGCAGTCGAGGCACTCCTCCGTGGTGCGCACGCACGCTTGGTGGTACAGCTCCTCCTCGATCTCCGTCCTGCACTGGTCGTCCGGCAGGAGAATCTGGTACACGCCACGTGCGAGGAGGCCATACAGACAGTAGGGCGAAATGAGTGAAACCGCATTAGTTGGTTGAAATGATTGTGAGACATGCTTGAGCTGACGTGTTTACCAGACGAACTCTCAAAAATGATGACGACGCTTCACAATAAAAGTATTAGGTGATTCAGGAACCACGACAACAACTACGTGAATTCTCCAATGTGGCTTGCACTTACGTTGGAGCCACTCCACGGGATCGTTGGAACTCACGACAACAAGTACGTGATGTTTTATTTTTTTCTCTCTCTCTCTCTCTAATGTGGCTTGCACTTACGCTGGAGCCACTCCACGGGATCGTTGGAACTCGGGCCGTCTGCGCTATAAGCGTGGAGCCGATTTTGTCGCCTAGCGCCGCCATGGAATGCGCCGAAGGGCCAAGGAACGCGATACCCTTAGCCGAGAGCGACTGCGGAAGATCCGGGTTCTCAGACGCGTGACCCCAGCCAGGCCACACGGCGTCCACTTTAGTTCGCTCCGCGACCTGAAATTGACATCAGATTTGCAAATTATTGCTGTACAGAAACCACGTAAGCTGAGCAATACAGACTAAGATAACTACTTTAAGCTGTAATTCCATGTGATGCACACGGACTTTAGTCATACCTCGACGATAAGCTGCACGTTAGCGTAGTTGTTGTTGTTAGTCCCACCAGGAACCTCAACGAATGTATCCGCCATGCGAATGTGTTCGGCATTCGCACGCATGTCTTCCGGCGTCGCCATGGCGACCATCTGAATGGCTCGCTCTTGACCGAAGGTCTCGAACGCCCATGATCTGACGGACGAGGGTTAGAAAGTACCAGTGAATGGTATAGTCAGCTACCTTACAACTTCTGGTCAAGATTAACAAAAAACATACGCATCGGAAACTGCGGCAACAATCTCCGTTCCGCTGTTTTGAGGCTCTTAAACGCTTCTTTGTAACGTTTTTTTTTACGTCTAACCTTATGCTGTTGATGAACTTGACGGCTGCGATGCCATTGTTGGCGATTAGGACACTGTTGATGGGCCGTGTTCCCCCAAGGACACGGCAGTATTCAGCCACCATGCCTGGCCCTCCGCTGAACGCGGCTCCATTAACTACAGGCAACATAGTGGAGTATCACACGAAGGAAATCTAGCGCAGAATAACTATTCTCTAGAAAAATGTTATTCCTGGTTGAGCCAAGATCACATCTCTTAGCAGCTTACACTAAACGATTTAAGAACCGCAAGTCTCTCACGAGAAGTCAACTGGCCTGTCAAACCTATGCAGATCCGCCTATCACTACCCTGTCACGCTGAGCACGCAGAGAGACGGAAGTCTTATGCCTTGATGTGCATCGATTGTATCGGCGATCCGTCACTTTCAACGGCTGTTTAGATTGAACATTGAGCTAAAGGATAGGGCTTGTTCAGGCAAGAGGGGAGTGAAGTGAAGGGATGAAAGGCGAGGCGAAGCAAGGCCACATAAGGATTTGGGCACCAGATTCAGGGAAGAATGGCGGTCAGGGAAGCACGGTGATTCGCAGGACTCAGGGAATGGAAGGAGCAACAGAAACGAAAGGCGGGAAATGCCTTGAGATCATCCTCAATCCGTCCTGTCAGAAAGCATGCTATCGCGAGTAGACGAACGCGGGTTACCCGAATCTCGTGATTACTCGCAACTGTGCGAGCAGCTGGAGGAATTTCCCAAGGGTCGCTGTCTGTTGCTTGCACCAATTCAAAACGTCAGCAGCGGCGACTTGGGGGTTTCATTGGAGGAAAGGGTGCAAGCGTGCAAATGGTCATGCTCGTGTGGGAGGAATGTGGCAAGAAGTTCGCGAAAGTTACACTGGCCAGCACAAACCAGGATGCGTTCCTTCTATTGGCTGCGACCAGCCCCCTCTTCGCATCATGTGACACTCTTGTGCAGTATTGGTCCAGACGCCAGATCGCAAGAGGTGTCAGAGAAGTGCGGGTTTGCATGCTGTGGAAGCGTATGTAGGCGCGACACGACCACCTAGCAAGGGGTTCTGGCTCGGATACATCCAAACCTCATTGGCGAGAACCGTGGAAGCGACGTGAAAAAGTGGGCTCCACATATAGTAAGATGCAAGACAAACTAGAGTAGTACAAATATAAAATACAAACACTAACATTTAACGGAAGACAATAGTGGATCAGAGCAAAATTCACAAGCAAACACAAATAAAGTATTGAGGATGGATAAACTAAACATCCTGAAGTACATATCAAGCTCTAACAGAAGCACGGGTGCCAAACAGCGCATTTTCCACAGGACCAACTATTATGAAGTATGTCCACGCCTGTCCCCTTAAAACAACTGTGGGACGAAGGTCTGGTCCGTGACTGGTGGCCGCACATAATAATCCTCCTGGAGCGGCGGGATCTTCACGTCATTTGGCTCAATCAGATCCTCATACGGGATCAAGCTGAGCAAGTGCGCCATCACACTCAGCCTCGCCGCCTTCTTATCATCTGACGGAACAACATACCACGGCGCCTGCTTGATATCACAATACCCAAACATCACATCTTTCGCATACGAATAATCCGCCCACCGCGCCCGCGACTGCAGGTCCATGTCGCTGAGCTTCCACCGCTTTTCCGGCCGATCCAGCCGCTCCTTAAACCGCTTCTCCTGCTCCTCGGGACTCACCGAAATCCAGTACTTGACCAGAATAATCCCCGACCGCACCAGCATGCGCTCAAACTCGGGGCACGACCGGAGAAACTCGCGATACTCCTCGTCCGAGCAGAACCCCATGACCCGCTCCACTCCCGCGCGGTTATACCAGCTCCGATCGAACAGCACCATCTCACCAGCAGCCGGAAGGTGTGCTACATAGCGCTGGAAGTACCACTGAGTGCGTTCGCGGTCAGAAGGGGTTCCCAGAGCCTTGATGCTGCACACACGCGGGTTGAGCGGTGCGGTTATGACCTTGATTATGCCGCCCTTGCCTGCTGCGTCACGCCCCTCGAATATAACCACCACGCGCAGACCCTTCTTCTTGATCCACTCCTGCAGCTTCACCAGCTCGAGCTGAGTGGGATGAGGGGAAGAGAGGAAGGGGCAGGAGAAGGGGTGGAGGTTAAAGGCATGTGAAGGCGTTGGGGAACACTCCTAGAAGGATGACCACCACTCTTCTTTTTTATCCACTCCTGCAGCTTCACCAGCTCGAGCTGGCAATGGGGGGTGGGAGAAGAGGAGGGGGAGGGAAAGGAGAGTGGGAGGCAGTGCGTGGTCTCACTCCTCAAAAGACTAAAACATCATTCAACGGATGCTTGTGTGAGAGATGAGGAGGGAGGATGGAGAAGGAGGGGGGAGAGAGGAGGGAGGAGGGAGGAGGGAGGAGGGAGGAGGAAGGAGGAGGAGGAGGAGGAGGAGGAGGAGGAGGAGGAGGAGGAGGAGGAGGAGGAGGAGGAGGAGGGAGGATGGAGGAGGAGGAGGAGGAGGAGGAGGAGGGAGGATGGAGGAGGAGGGGGGAGGAGAGAGGAGAGAGGAGGAAGGAGGGAGGAGGGAGGAGGGAGGAGGGAGGAGGAGGAGGAGGAGGAGGAGGAGGAGGAGGAGGAGGAGGAGGAGGAGGAGGTCGAATGTGAGCCACTGCCATCCTAACACAACAACCACTCGCATATCCCAAGACGCAAACAGCAATTTCCCAGGGTCTCAAACACATGACGGCGCGTTGTGCTTCAAATGGATTGTGTATTGTTTCTGGTTCATAAAACCGTGAAATTGGAAGGATTTCGTGTGCGAACAAATCTCACAACCAGTAAGAACCCTCCCACATTCTTCGCATCCTCCTATTTCCCAACCACCCCTCCCCTTCCCTTTCTCTCTCTCTCTCCCTCCCGTTCGCCCCCCCCTTCAAAATCCTCCCCCAACTTTCTCGACCCCAAAAAACACCTGGTACGCGTTACAAGCTCACCTGCAACCTCTCGAGTTCATCCTCGTAGTTGCAGTTCTTCTTCTTCTTCCACTTATCCTTCTCCGCCGCCTTGGCGAGCGACGAAGCAAACACGTGCTACCACCATTTCACCCGAAATCACTAGGTACGCGTTACAAGCTTACCTGCAGCCTTTCCAATTCATCCTCCTAGTTGTAGTTCTTCTTCTTCTTCCCCTTATCCTTCTCCGCAGCCTTGGCGTGCCCCCGAAAACACCTGGTACGCGTTATTAGCTCACCTGCAGCCGCTCGAGTTCGTCCTCGTAGTTGTAGTTCTTCTTCTTCTTCCCCTTATCCTTCTCCGCCGCCTTCGCGTGCGACGAAAGGTCGTCCGGGTAATGCCCCGTTGGCTCCACCCCGCGGCCGCGTCCGCCGCTCTTCTCCTTCTCCTTCTTCGACTTTTTCTTCCCTTCGCTGCCCGAGCTGCCCGTATCGCTGCCCGTATCGCTGCCCGTATCGCTGCCCGAGGAGCTACCCGCCGCGGGGCTTGTCACCTCCTTCTCGCTCTCCGCTTTCCCCGCCGCAACCTCTGCCTTCGTTCCATCCTCAACCTCCTCCCCCTTGTCCCCCTTTTTCTTCTTCTTATCTCCTTTCTTCTTCCCCTTTCCGTTCTTCTCCAGATCGCTCAAATAAAGATCTTCGTGGTGGTACACCCGAGGCGCCCACCCGCCGCCGTGAATCGCGCCGACTTCGTCGCCGTCGTCGCCGCCGGGCCTGCCGCCGCCCACCGCGGGGAGCTCGAAGTCATCGAGTCGCGGGCTTTTGGTAGAGGAGAGCGCGACTCCCGCGGGCGCGTCGTTCTCGGGCTCGTCCCCGTCCTTCTTCGCGCGTGAGGTTACCACTCGAGCGGCATTCCTTCGCCTGCCTTCGCCAATCCGCAGGAAACCGGGCGGCGACGAGTGGCCAAGAGGACGGCGAGACGCGAGAAGAGAGTGCGACGGCCTTGCGGATAGCCCGGGAAATGCGGAGATGAAGAGCGTCGCAGGCATTATTCCTGGTTTGAGTGTACCAGAAAAGGCGTAGCGACGATGAAAACTGAGTCACTAAGAAAATAACGAAGTGACTACTGGTGAAGCTTTCTCACACAGCGGTAGCGCAAGGTGAGTTCCGGCCGGTACAAGGCAACAACGGATCTGTCAAGGTCAGCAGTGCCTTGAAGTCGACTCAAAAGTCACTGCGATCAGCAACAACGGAGCGGAGCTCTCTCGGGTGCTGCGGCAACTGAAGCTGAAGCTGATTCGAGGGATGGACTCTGAGTGTGGTGGGTGCAGCCAGAGATGCCGCTGATTCTCGTTGAGGCGCGGCGAATGCAAAGCAAGCACATACGAGGCAAGCGTGCGCGAAGCTTTTGGTCTGGAATCCTGGAGGCTGGATTTCCCGTCGCTGCTCATCTTTTTGTTGTTGCTTCCTCACACCACAGTGCGCGAATTCGTCGGAAGGACGGATGACAAGTTTCGGCGGCGAATGAGCAAGTACAGTACACTGAGGTAGCAGGTGCGACCAGTTTCGTACTGCTGGCAGGGTTGCTGAACCGAGGTCGGTGGTGGAAACAGAGGATTTAGTTCGTGCTTTGCGAAACTTAGGAGTTTGCGTAGAGAAACTTACGAAATGACATTTATGATTCTCATTCTGTTCACAGTGCTAAGGAAAACTCAATTCTCTATGTTTGCAGCTCCCCATTCTTCCCAGCAGGAAAATGCGTCCCACATTTGGAATGGATATCTATCTGGTCAAGTGCTCTACACCGTCATAGGCAGGGACCAACTGCTTGACAGCGCGGCAGCGATGCGCTGGCGCTGACAATGCAGCACCTTCGAGATCTTTGTGCGTCCTTGCACAAATCATGCGCGTTGTGTATATTCGTATGTCGGTATGCGTGGCGAGTGTATCCTGGATAGATGCCAGCGATAAGAGGGGAGCATGAGAATTGTGTATGCTCCTGTGGCAGCAGTGTATGTACCTACCTACCTTATTACAGCATGAAAAACGAACTGCAGAAGGGAAATGGGACACTGGTTGAGTTGAGAGATTTTGGCTTCTGTTGACAAATAATGGAGTTGTTAGTCTACCTTGAGACCCCAAAAAAATATTATCTTCAATGTGTCCTGTTTCTTGCACGCGTCCCTAAAACTGCTTTCACTAGTGTGGGGTTGTTTTCTTCTATGACAACCAAAAAAAATATCCTACCTAAACGATGCGGTCGGCTTGCAAACTAGAAGAGACCGAGAGAGCGCTTTCTCTGGTCCTGCTTCCACTTGGGCATGGCATAAAACTTGCCCTTGTCGTACCCAAATATGCGGAGGAAATCCGTATCTGACAGATACGACTGGACGGGGGAGGGAGGGAGGGGATAAAGAGGAGGGTAATTGTTGAGGAGCTTTGAGGAATAGAATCTCCGAACCAAGGCATCCAGGACAGGTATGGAGGGAATCAGAGAGCCGGAAGCGTTGATTTTGGTTGGGCCAATGGGACTGCAAGGCAGGGGGACTGCATGTGAGGACACGGGATAGGGGAAGGCACTTGAGGAAGGGCAATGGAGGTGGTGTATGACAATGTGAGTTGCAACTGTGCCTCTTCTGACAGTCTCGGTTGTTGAGAATCCTCCTGCGCGTACGATTGTGTCGCCACACCATTGGCTGCCACCTCCTGCCCTTCCGAATCATCACGTTCCAGCACACAGCAGGATTCTCCATGATTGCAACTCACATTGTTCTCTTCCATTCACGATCGACACAACCCCTCAACTGCTACCACTCGCTCCTTTCAATCCCCCCCCCACTCTCCCCCGCCCTCCCCGCCCTCCCCCCACTCTCACCTCTCTTCTTGTAGTGTCAATCCCTCGAATAGGGTTCTTGCTGTCGATGATCAGCCTGTCAAATGCATAACACACCCCTTCCACTGCTGCTTCCCCATTCCCTGCTCCTCCTGCTCCTCCTCCTGCTGCTGCTGCACTGTCACTGCTGCCACCGCCGCCCTTCTTCCCCTCCTCCTCGCCATCTTCACTATCATCATCCTCGTTATCCGCTTCATGCACCGAGCCTGCGAGAGAATTTCCCCTGGCGAGCTTGAGAGGCTCTGTGAGGGCCGGAGAGCGACGGGGAGGGGGAGCGGGGGTAGGGAAATGAGTTGTATGGATGAGCCTTCTTCCCCTCCTCGCCCATCCTCACTATCGTCATCCTAACTACTCACCCAGGTTCGGCTCCCCTTTGAGCGTGCCAGTGAGTGCAGCCATAGCAGCAGCCCGCTGGGTAGAGGGCGAGGGGGCGGGGGAGGGCCCCCTCCTACCCACCCGCCAGCCCCTTGATGAGCGCGGGGGAGATGGTGAGCGCAGAGAGGGAGGGCTTGGCGGAGGGGGAGTGGTGGCAGTCCTGAACCCAACCTAAACCTGTAGACTGCGCCTCAGCACTTACTGATTCTTGAGGCAACTGGACTGTCCCTCACCACTCACCCAGATTCTCCCCTTTGAGCGTGCCAGTGAGTGCAGCCATGGCAGCAGCGCGCTGGGTGGAGGGCGAGGGGGCGGGGGAGGGCCCCCTCCTGCCCGCCAGCTCCTTGATGAGCGCGGGGGAGATGGTGAGCGCGGAGAGGGAGGGCTTGGCGGAGGGGGAGTGGGGTGTGGAGGAGGAGCGTGGGGTGGAGGAGGATGACGTGGCGGATGGGGATTGGTGCGTGAGCGCTGCGAGCCGACGCTTGACGGTCTGGGAACGGGCATGGGAAGTGGGGAGGTGGGGAGGGGCGGTTAGGGAGGGGAGGGCAAAGTGAGGGAGGAAGGAAACGACGTGAGGGGATTTTGGTTTATGTTAGAGGAAGTTCTGGGCTTTGGGTTTAGTTTGAGTTGACTTAAAATGTACCTACAATTGAGGGTGGAGAGCAAGCTCACAGCTTAGGCTCTAGCATAAAAAAGGACGGGGAGGAATGCAATAGCAGAGACGGGGAAGGAGAAGGAGGAGCGGCAGGGAAGGGAAAGAAGAAGAGGGAGGGCGGTGGGGATAGGGAGGATTTAGGGTTTGAAGGACTCACATCAGAGAGCTCAAGCGATTTTCCCTGCAGCAGAGCCAGCTTGCTTTTGAGCATTCTCAGAAGCAACACCAGCAGGGAAGGAGTGCAGAAAGAGGGACTCACAATGGAGCTGCTTTTGAGCATTCTCAAAAGCAACACCAACAGAGAGGGAGGGAGGGAGGGATTAGGGTGAGGGACTCACATCAGAGAGCTCGAGCGATTTTCCCTGCAGCAGAGCCAGCTTGCGGTCATATGGATCTGCTAGGGCCTGGTGGGATAGGAGGATCAGCAAGGGCAAGGGGGGAAAGCGAACAGGGATGCAGGGAGCATGATCAGGAACCGAGTTGTGGAGGAAGCGATGTGCCCTGCAGCAGAGCCAGCTTGCGGTCATATGGGTCTGCTAGAGCCTGGTGGGGTGAGGGACAGCAAGGGCGAGGGAGGAATGAATGTGAGGTGCGGGTCGAAATATTCAAGGGATGATGTGCCAATTTGCGCCCATATGGATCTGCTAGGGCCTGGTGGGGTGAGGGAACAGCAAAGGGATAGCAGCGAATGAGGGTGAGAGGTGCGGGTCAAGCACAGTCAAGCGAGGTCAAACCAAGTCAGGCGATGATGAGGAAAGAGTTGAGCCCTGCAGCACAGCCAGCTTGCGGTCATAAGGGTCTGCTAGGGCCTGTTGGGTGAGGAGGGAGAGGGGAGGAGGAGCATGGTATCAGGGGTGTTCTTTTTAGTATTCTCAAAAAAACCCTGCAGGGAGGAGGAGCATTGTATAAGGGGCCGACTGATGCATGTGATGAAGGGCTAGCGGGGGGGGTTCTGTCCCGAAGGCCGAAACTAGTTTGCGAATAAGGGCTCTTACGAGTTGAAGGCTTTGTGAACTACTTGAATTTCTCAGAAGCAATTTTTCAGTCTCGTTCCTTTGTTCCTTTGTCGCATGTGAGTTTTGAGTCGACTCAAAAGTTAAACATAAAGGCCAGCATGCGGTCAGCATGTGGTCAGCATGTGGTCCATCGCATGTGGTCAGCATGTGGTCAGCATGTGGTCAGCATGTGGTCCATCGCATGTGGTCCATCGCATGTGGTCCATCGCATGTGGTCCATCGCATGTGGTCCATCGCATGTGGTCCATCGCATGTGTACGATGCCCCACGACTCCCCAACTCACCGCACTCGCAGCATGGTCCCAGTGGGGGAAGAGAGCAGTGAACATGGGGGGCTCATACCCCTCCACCACTTGCACCACCATGGTATCCTTTGACCTGCCTTCCGTTGCTGCCACTCGGTCCACATAGCGCTGATGCAGGGAGCGGGAGAAAGTGGTGGAGGGGTGGGGAGAGTGAGGGTTACACCACACAGTGAACATGGGGGGCTCATACCCCTCAACCACTCTCACCACCGTGGTATCCTTTGACCTGCCTTCCGTTGCTGCCACTCGGTCCACATAGCGCTGATGCAGGGAGCGGGAGAAAGTGGTGAAGGGGTGGGGAGAGTGAGGGTTACACCACACAGTGAACATGGGCGGCTCGTACCCCTCCACCACTCGCACCACCGTGGTGTCCTTTGATCGCCCCTCCGCTGCTGCCACTTGGTCCACATAGCGCTGATGCAGGGAGCGGGAGGGGGTAGAAGGAGGTGGGAGATGGGGGGGGTTGGTAAGTGAGAGGTGCATTTGTAAGTGGGGGCTCGAATGTGACCCTCTACCGCCCTCTACCGCCCTCACCACCTTGCATCTTCCACTCGTCACCAGTGCATTGCTGAGTGCTTCTTTTGTCTCCTTGTCAGGCACGTTGACCCCCCCCCCTCCACACGAACACCTCTGTGTGTTTTTTAGATTTCTCAAAGCAAGCACCTCCGTTAGTGTGTCCAGCAGCAGAAAGCAACACGCCACTGCTGTCATCAACTCATGCTGCAAGCCTGACAATGCCATAACAGTGTGCTAGCTAACACCTTCAAACTCTCACCACCACTCACCAGTGCATGGTTGAGTGCCTCTTTCTTCTCCTTATCAGGCACGTTCACCCCCGCCCATGCAAACACCTCCGTGTGTGTGTCCAGCAGCATCACGTCTTCACTGATTAGATCGTCCTGGCTGTACCCTGGCACCTCCAGCACCTGTACGAGATGGTTGGGGTGGATGGAGAAGATCACAGGGGTTCAGAGGTGCCTCAGAGGGGACAGCAAGGGCGAGGGGGGAATGGGGGGAAGGTGCAGCAGCATCACGTCTTCACTGATTAGATCGTCCTGGCTGTACCCTAGAACCTCCACCACCTGTGATGAGTCGGTTTTTGAGTCGACTCAAAAAACGACTCATCGTCCTGGCTGCACCCTGGAACCTCCACCACCTTCCAGATGGCGAGACAAGGAGAGATGCTGTCACTGTTATCACGGCTAGAAAAAAGTGGTGAAGAGGCCCTGAGGCCTCTCGGAGAAAAGAAGCGCCTCCCTGACTCACTGCATTCAGCAGGGCCCCTGGCGCCGCATCACATTCTCACTGATCAGGTCGACCTGACTGTACCCTGGCACCTCCTGCACCTGCTAGATGGGGGAGGGGGATGCCACATGGGGAGGGCAGGGAGAATGGCACAGAGAGGTAGACGCGCCATGCGATGTGACATGGGGAGGGAGGAGAGTGAGGGTGAATTGGTGATGATCAGGCGCATCCTCAAGACGGCCGTCCCCATGAAGCCCCTCCAACCCCCTCCCCTCCCTGCCACCGACATACCTTGAAGCTGTCACCACTGCCCGAGACTTGTTGACTTTTGAGTCGACTCAAAATCCAAATCCCTGTCACCGACATACCTTGAAGTTGTCGCCACTGCGCGTGACTTGGAAAAGCCTGCCATCCCGCGCTGCCTCGCTCACCTCACCTCCCTGGTCTCCAACATGGTGGTATCCCCTTTGCCATGGTGACTCGGTGCTACAGCATGGTGCACTGTCGAGTCACTTGAGGCTGCTTTCAACCCTTTTCTTTCATCACCATACCTTGAAGCTGTCGCCACTGCCCGTGACTTGAAACAGCCTGCCATCCCGCGCTGCCTCCTTCCCCTCCCTGGAAGCGGGGTACTCCCCCTTGCTGCCCAGATGCTGCCAGAACACGGACGTCTCCTTGCCCTCCACCACTTGCTTCACTAGCGTGCCGGGCTGCAGGCAAGAGAAGTGGAACACCACCAGGCACAGCGGCGGGGAAGGTGGGGAAAGGGGGGTTGGTCAGGGATGGGGTGGATGCCGCCCAGATGCTGCCCAGATGCTGCCCAGATGCTGCCCAGATGCTGCCCAGATGCTGCCCAGATGCTGCCCAGATACTGCCCAGATGGTGCCCAGATGCTGCCAGAACACGGACGTCTCCTTGCCTTCCACCACTTGCTTCACCTGCACGCCGGGTTGCAATCACGGGCAGTGAAACACCGGGCATGCACAGAGGAAAGCGGAGGAGGGGAAAGCAGAAGGGAAGGCATAATGGGATGGGATGCTGCCAGAACACAGACGTCTCCTTGCCCTCCACCACCTGCTTCACCAGCACGCCCGGCTATAGACAAGTGGGAAAAGGAAAGGGGGAAGGAGAGGAGAAAAGGGGGTTGGTCAGAGATGGAGCACAACCAGATGCTGCCAGAATACAGACGTCTCCTTGCCCTCCACCACCTGCTTCACCAGCGCTCCTGGCTGCAGGTGGGGGAAGGGGGAGGGAAAGGTGGAAAGGAGGAAGGAAAGGGGGGTGGGTCAGGGATGTCTCCTTGGTCAAGGGGCACAGTCAACAGGCACCCGAACTCGGACGCGTTTCTGAAAGCGGGGTACTCCTCCTTGCTGCCCAGATGCTGCCAGAACACGGACAGACGGCTCCTTGCCCTCCACCACCTGCTTCACGAGGGCGCCGGGTTGCAATCACGGGCAGTGGAACAACAGGCACAGTTGTAAGGAAAAGACAGTGCGCTGGTAGGCACTATGATAACCTACCCAGGGGCATCACATCACCTTGATGAATTCAGCTGCAGCAGCATGCTTGTCGGCCGCACTGCTACCGCTTTCGAGTTCTAAGACGTCTCACCTCGACTAGCTACCATCATATCGTGTAGAAATTATCACCTTAACGATTTCGGCAGCAACCGCCACAGCATCCTTGTCAGCCGCACTACTGCCATTCCGGAGTTCTAACTTCTAAGACATCTCACCTCGACTAGATATCATCATATCGTGTAGAAATTATCACCTTCATGGTTTCGGCAGCAACCGCCACAGCATCCTTGTCAGCCGCACTACTGCCATTCCGGAGTTCTAACTTCTAAGACATCTCACCTCGACAAGATATCATCATATTGTGTAGAAATTATCACCTTCATGATTTCGGCAGCAACCGCCACAGCATCCTTGTCAGCCGCACTGCTGCCACTGCCAATTCTGAGATGTCTCACCTCGGAACATCAACTAGAAAATCATATTACCTTGATAATTTCGGCTGCAGCTGCTACAGCATCCTTGTCAGCCGCACTGCTGCCATTCCCCAGCCACAAAAAGAGGCTGGTGGGCGTCTGGAGCAAGAAACAATCCTCCGAATTCAGCGATTTCGCCACCGGATCCATCTGAACCGCTTTAAACAGCACTGCACCACTCGCGCCAGTAGATGCCGCCCCCCGGGCGCGCACACGGAACAGAGCCACGCCTGCCGGGTCGTACGTGTCGTCAGAGCCGCCCTGGGCGGCAATTTTCGCCTTGTAGCTTGCACTGCTGCCGCCCTGGTTGGGTTGAGTTGGGTGAAATTGACAGGACAGGCAGCAAAGTAAGATTCATGCTCAGAAGCATATTCCGGATATTGAATGCGAAGCACTGGTTAAGTTGAGTTGGGTTTGAGAGAGTTACCTCCTTGCGAAGGTAACCCAAGGAGTTATCTTTTGGTCTCTCCTTGGGTTTGACAAGGAGCAGAGTTACCTTGAGAAAGAAGAGGTGTGTCCTGAACAAGGAGATGAACTGCTCGGGTTCCCTCCCCTGCACAACCCGCACCTGGTAGGGAGCAGAGGCCACCAGAGAACGGGATTTGGAGGAAAAGTGGATTTGGAGGAAAACGCAAACGGGGGTTGAGGGAAGGGATGGTTGGAGTGGGGCGGGAGAGGGGAAGATGTTGGGAACAGTTTAGGGAGGAAGCATTGAACGAATAGGTTGGAGGCAGAGTGGGTGGGTAGGCGCAACGTCATTGCCGTGTTACCAGACAGACAGACACATCACACAGCACATACCAGAGTGGCGTTTCCTCTCAGCGCGTCGACTGCCCTGGTGGCCACAGCAAGAGCAGACGTGCGCTCCTCTTGCGTGCTGTCTCGGCCCACCCAGAGAAACACCACGTATTCAAACTTGCGGTCGCGAGTGAAGGTGTATTGCACGATGTAGCAGTCGCCGCCGTGAAACCGCCCCACTTCCTCCGCTGCTACTAGTGTCTTGTTGCTGCCGTTCACCCGCCACACCTGCTTCCAACGGGGGGGGGAAGGGGGAGGAGGGGTTGGAAGGGGGAGTGGGCGGGGTGGGGTGAAGAACAAGGCATTACATTCGCCAGTCACCTGCCACACCTGCTGGGTCAGGGAGGGGAGGAGGGGGGTTGGAGAGAGGGGAACACCACGTATTCAAACTTGCGGTCGCGAGTGAAGGTATATTGCACGATGTAGCAGTCGCCGCTGTAAAACCTCCCCACTTCCTCCGCTGCTACTGCTGCCTTGCTGCTGCCGTTTACCCGCCACACCTGCTTCCAACGGGGGGAACGGAAAGAAATGCGTGCGTTGCTGCTTCCAATGCCATCTGATGGGAATGGAACAACTTCCATGACATTCCAAATGTCCACGTCAGCAGCACAGCATGTGCCACCGCTCATTCCCATTCCTCCTCTGCTTCAGCTAACCACACCACAAGCTCCACTCAACAATTCTTCTCTTCTCTCCTCCTCACCGCCATCTCGCCAGCAACATCAGCGAGTGGAGGGGGTGGCGGCTCTGCTGCCCCTGCTGCTAGTTGCTAATTGAGAAGTCTCAAAAACCTATAAGTCTCATATTACTACACCCTCCACTCTCAGCTATTCGCCTCTCCTCGCCTCTCCTCTACTCGCCTCTCCTCTCCTCTCCTCGCCTCTCCTCTCCTCACCTTCATCTCGCCGGCAACATCAGCGAGAGGAGGGGGTGGCGGCTCTGCTGCCCCTGCTGCTGCCTGCGGCCCCCTCCCCACTGCCTTGTCTACCATGCCTGACTGCCGCAACATGGCTGTGGGGGGAAGAGGGGAAGGAAGAGGGAGGAGGTCGAGGCGGAGAGGCATGGTTGGGTTCTGAGAACTCTCAGAAGCATCACACAAGCATCCTGCACTCCTCGTCTCCTCTCCTCTGCTTGTACTTTCAGTTTGCTGGCCTTCCAGCAACAGTCCCGCCCACCTACTCTCTGAACTATTGTAAAGCATCTCTGAGACATCTCACAACAGTCCCGCCCACCTACTCTCACGATTCGCCTCCCCTCTCACCTTTGAGCTTGCTGGCACCTCCCTCTCCAGCGCCCATCACAGGGGCGAGAGGCCACTCGGCAAAGGCCGCCTTGAAGGCTGCTGTCTCGCTTCTCTCACTCATCCGCGTCACTAACACCGAGGGGGGGCGGCTGGACATATGCGCCTGGTGGGAGGTAGGGACGGGGAAGGGCAGAAAGAAGGGAGGTGGGGGAAGGGGGGAAAGGGGGGGAAGGGGAGGAGAGGAGGGGAAAAGGGGGGAAGGTGGGGACTGGTTAAATGGACAGCTTACAAGCAGGGATGAGCAAGGATTGAAGAAAAATCGCTCAATCAAACCACACTCACCCTCTTCTTCACACCACACTCACCCTCTTCTTCACACCACACTTACCCTCCCACTGCTCACTGCACACACCATTCACTCACACGACCCACCCTCACAGTCCTCGTACCACTCATCCTCGCACCACTCCGAACACCACTCCCCCTCACACCACTCACCCTCACATCCCTCACCCACACCACTCCTAACACCACTCACCCTCACACCACTCCGAAAACCACTCAACCTCACCACCCCTCCTCACACCACTCCTCACACCACTCCTCACACCACTCCTACTCACACCACTCCTCACACCACTCCCCCTCACACCCCTCCTCGCACCACTCCTCCTCACACCACTCCCCGGCACACCACTCCCCCTCACACCACTCCTCTCACTGCTCACCTCTGCAGCCACACAGGCCGCCCGCCTGTCAGGCACGGTGCTGAGCTTCCCGAACCACACAAAGAGGTTCGGGCCCGTGTCAAGCAGGTAGCACTTGCTGCTCTCCAGCAGATTCTTCTTGAGGGGAGCCTTGGCTTTCTCCTGGAGGCCGCTTGAAGTGACGCTGGAAGGGAGTAGGGAAGCAAATAGAGAGAGCGAGGGGGGAAAGGAAGGAGCACGTGTCAAGCAGGTAGCACTTGCTGCATTCAAGCAGATTCTTCTTGAGAGGCGCCTTGGCTTGCTCCTGGAGGCCGCTTGAAGTGACGCTGGAAGGGAGTAGGGAGAGCATAGCGAGGAGAAAGGAAGGAACAAGTGGCAAATGTAACACACACACACACACACACACACACACACACAGACACACACACACACACACACACACACAGACACACACACACACACACACACACACACACAGACACACACACACACACACACACACATACACATTTTCCCCAACTCACAGGTAGAGCGTGGGAGGCACGGCCTTGGCCTCCACATCCTCCTCACTGGCACTCTTCTTGGCGATGGGAGCAAAGCCGCCAAAGAGGTCCCAGAACTCGCTGGAGCTGGCGTCGTCCGCCTTGCCATCGTCTGCCGTGCGGAGAGGGAGAGGAAGGGAGGCAGAACAGCGGGAGAGGGGAGGACACGCAGGGGAAGGAACATTCAAGTCTGATTTACGATGGGAGCAAAGCCGCCAAACAGGTCCCAGAACTCGCTGGAGCTGGCGTCGTCTGCCTTGCCATCGTCTGCCGGCCGGCCGGAGAGAGAGGGGAGAGGGGGACAGGGGGAGTGGAGAGGGGAGGGACGAATGCAGAGGAAGGAGAGGATAAGATTAGTTTTGAGAATTCTCGAGCAAAGGAATAAAACCATGTCAATCTAAAACCCCAAAACCCGAATTCCGAAATGCCTTTAAACCCGAAACCCTTGACCCTGCACAGTGGCGGGCGACTGGTGCTTGAGCAGCAGAGTGGCGTCAGTGGCTCGAGTGCGGTGGTGGTCTCTATTGACTAGCAAACGCACACTTGCAACCGTTGCAACCGCACAGGCTTACCAATCACAGCAACGGGGATGTTGCCCCTGGGCGACTGGTGCTTGAGCAGCAGAGTGGCGTCGGTGGCTCAAGTGCGGTGGTGCACTTTATTGACTGGCAAACACACACTTGCAACTGCCTCAACCACACTGACTCGACTTTTGAGGCGCCTCAAAAGTCGTCTTCTGAGGCGCCTCAAAAGCAGAGTGGCGTCAGCGGCTCTGCTTGGAGACGTTGGCGCCGTTGGACTGGAACAAACACACTTACAACTGTTGCAATGCAACAGCAGCGGCTCACCTGCAACAGCAGCAGCTTACCTGTAACAGCAGAGCCTTACCAATCACAGCAACGGGCATGCTGCCGTTAGGCGACTGGCTCTTGAGCAGCAGAGTGGCATCAGCTGCTCGAATGCGCTCCTGCTTGGAGACATTGGCACCGTTGAACTGGTAGAGCTTGGAGGGCGCTTGCAGCACAAACACGTCCGAGTGGTTCAGGGAGGAGCGCGCAAAAGCAACCTGGGATGGGGAAAGTTCAAAGAAAAACGTTTGGTGAGAACGCCAGGCCCCTTCTACCCACGAGGGGGATGATGCAGGGGCGTAAGTAAGACAGGAACCGCAGCAACTCGTGCTGGAACTGTGCCATATCCACCTGACCTGATGCTAGTCCCACTATCGGTGCAACTTTCGGTGAGATTTCTCCTGCCTCTCATCTGGCGCACGAGCAGGCACCTTCTACCATTTGACCTGGTACAGCCTCAGCTCTCCCCGCTCGCCCCGTCCGCAATGGAGATAATGCAAGGGCGGAAGTAGGACAGGAAGAGCGCCGACTTGTGCCCCTGTTGCTAGCCCTCCTGCTAGCACCTCACTCACCTGGCGCACGTGCAGGAACCGTCTGCCCTTGACCTGGTACAGCCTCCGCTCCCCACTAGCCCCGTCCGCAATGGGAATAATGCAGGGGCGGAAGTAGGACAGAAACAGCGGCGACTCGTGGCCCTGCTGCTCGCGGTGTTGCGTTGACTTGCCGCCCACGGCAATATCTAGGTCCAGCGCCTTGAGCGCCGCCCGGGACGCGTCCTCTGGTGAGGCTCCCTTGCCCAGCCAGTAGTGCACGGCGTGGGTCACACCGCCTGCCGCTTTGGAACCCGAGGTCTGAGGGAGAGACAAATGAGGGAAGGGAGGATAGCGAGCGGATGAAAGACGTGTGAGACACGTGCGAGACAGGAAGACGCGTCCTCTGGTGTGGCTCTCTTGGCCAGCCAGTAGTGCACGGCGTGGGTCATGCCACCTGCCGCTTTGGATCCTGAGGTCTGGTGGAGTAGAGGGATGGGTTGAGGAGGCGGGGAAGATGAAAAGCGTGAGACGCGCGAGACAGCAACGCTCTTACCCAGCCAGCAGTAGTGCACGGCGTGGGTCACATCGCCTGCTGCTTTGGATCCCGAGGTCTGGTGGAGAGAGAAGGGAGGGAAGGGAGAATTACGAGAGGATGTGAGACGTGTGGGACACGTGAGACACGTGAGGTACGGGAGACAGGAAGACGCGTCCTCTGGTGAGGCTCCCTTGCCCAGCCAGTTGTGCACGGCGTGGGACACGCCGCCTGCCACTTTGGATCCTGACTCCTGAGGGTGAGAGGGGGAGGGAGCACGAGAATGATGCCTGACGATTTGTACCCTGAAATTTGGGTGGTTAGTGGGATGCACCCTGCTTAACGAAAAACGACTTAGGCACAATGTAGGTGTCTCAGATGCCGTACTCTGCCTAAGGAACCAGAACCACTTTACTCTTAGACAGCTTGAAGTGTAGCTATGTTACAATTCGCGTTATAGCGCACCTTGAGCACAATGTAGATGTCTCGGGTGTAGAACTTGCCATGGTCAGCCTTGGGAACAGGAACCACTTTGCCCTGATCCAATCGCCACACCTCCAATCCCCTGAAAACACGGAACAGCCACGTCAGCAGGTCAGTGCCATCAGCAGTGAACGAAACCACTCGCGGGAGACGTGTGCGACAGTATAGTGCCATCAGGACAATATCCGCGTTATAAGACAATGGCCGCGCCTTGTCACTCAATGTCCCCATTTCAAGACAACGTGCGTCTTTAGAAAGGGAGATGATGCCAGCATTCGTGTCATTGATTAACAATTGGATGTCTGGTGTCTGACCAACACGCTACGAAGGATCAATGCTCGGCAAGGCACGCGATTCCAGCCGGATATTTTTCCGGTTCATGCTTTATCGGGCCGCATGCAGACCCACGGCATTACGGAACAGCAAGCTTCCCAACCTCTACGCCTGCCGATGTTTATACGAATCAAGAAATCACGAATCGCCTTCACTGCAAAGAACGTACTGTGCGGCTGCAAGAACGCGGAAATTACACCAACACGAGAGCGGTTCGACGACTTGCAACAGCAGGCACTAAGGACAGCGACGCCATGGACGGCAGAATTACGCCAAGGATGGTTGGTATGAAACGGATAAAGACCGCGACGCCTGGGGGTTTCAGCCGAGCGGGTCTTACGGTTTATGGCTGATTCCCTGAAATGCGGGGTCCACATCTTTGGCCGACATGGCCACGCGTCCAACCACTGGTGGCAGCGGAGCAGACTATACCGAATCACCTAGCAGGTAGGCCGGCAACAGTTCTAGGGCCCAGGCTGGAAGCGGCTACTGGGAAATTGAGCTTCAAGAGCTTCGGGGTGAAGGCCAGGCGCGAGGAATCAATGTTTATGAGCATTGACTAGACGTCGAGCTGAACTGAACACCTAAATTAAACACCTATCCAGCCCTAGTGCAAGCACCTAGTAACCAGTCTAGAAAAAAATGGCAGCTAGTTTGTTCTCAGCTTGTGTTGGTGTGTATGGCTTGCGGGGCAGGTGTAGTGGCGTGTGTAACGTGCTGGCAAGGGTGCTCTGCCGGTCGCATGCAGCGTTTACACACAACCGGGAACTGTACAAGGCTCACAAGCTCCATTCTGTTCACATGCAACTCGTTTCAGGCTGTGCATGTGTTCAAAAATAAACGTTGAGCGTCCCGTTAAAAACGGACAGTAATTGGAATGAGACCGATATTCAGTGTGCGCCCTCGTCCTTATGAAGGCTGGTTAGCGCGCGAACCGGGATAGGGGGACATGAGCGAAGCCTACGCGAAACATGGCGCCCAGGACACAGCTCAGAGCAGGAACGTGGCGGCGAAGCGATGCATTACAGAGCTGATACAACAGCGTATACTGGAGTTATAAACGATACCAGTAACTGGTTCTTCAAAACACAAGTGGAAACATATCACCCTAGAATGGAAGCTAGATACAGACAGTGTCATAGCAATAATGATTCGCCTACAACTGGGGTGATAAGTGTTTCTGAAAGCACCGCCAGTCATACTCCACTTGACGTGAATAGCTCAACGCCACCTCCCAGACAAGTTCCTCAAACTCGTTCTTAGCCGCTGCCTTGGATAGAAGCGCAAGCTCCTGGCACAATGCTGGCCGTTGATCCACCAGAGGGTCGGGATCTAGCAGACTAGCAGCAACAGCATGCTGCGATGCCAGTATGCGCGCCCAATCCTCTGCCAACTCCACCAACCCTTCCTGTTGATTTGGGAAAATGGGGTTGGAGAGCAATGTATGTATGGATCTGCTATTAAATTTTACGAGCTCCACTAACCCCTCCTGTTGTTTCAACAAGGGGGGTGGAAAGTGCAATGGGTGGATCAGCTTGATGGTAGGTTGACATGGACGCCAACTAGAAGAGGCGGTCTGCCCAAGTGATAACAAGCCACAGGTTACCACATAACCCCAACAGTACACGGAGGGTGACCTCGTCAACAACAGTGCCCACCTCCGTTATATAAGCGAACCCACCTGAGGTGCCACGTGAAGTGATGGCACTGAATTGGTGTTCACTCGGACTCACCTGAGTGGTGAGAGCGAAACTCTTGAGTTTAGACTTGACGTCTGCAGAAACTGCAGTGGGATACTCCTCCTCGTATGGCGACACGTCTCTCACTGAATACCGCCCCGCCGCACTCGGATGCACACCCTCCTGCCAGGAAGAGTGGAAAGGAAACAGGAACAATGAAAACAGAGTCAAGGCAATTCAAACGTGCCGTGCTGCACTCGGATGCACACCCTCCTGCCAGGAGGAATAGAAAAAGAGTCAAGAGTCATGTTGAGGTGTGGCTTGGGGCCCATGAGAGTCATTGCTCGCACGCCTCACCCCTCACCCCCAGCCCCCTCCCTCACTTGCACTCCCTTCCCTCACTTGCACTCCCCTCCCTCACTTGCACCCCCAGCCTCACCTTACCTCCATCCCTCATGTGCCCCACCCCTCACTTCACCTCCATCCCTCATGTGCCCCACCCCTCACTTCACCTCCATCCCTCATGTGCCCCACCCCTCACTTCACCCCCATCCCTCATGTGCCCCACCCCTCACTTCACCCCCATCCCTCATCTGCTCTTCTTTCCCTTACCTGCACCCACATGCCCTTTCGCCCTCACCTGCAGCTCCATCCATCCAATGCTGCTGCTGTCGTGTGACGAGCACAGAGCAGCGCTGGCCTCCAGAAACCGATCAGTCTTGTGGGGGAAGCAGTGGCCGCCCCACCTCTCACCTCCCATATCCCACCCTCACCTATCCCACCAATCTCTCACCAACACCCCTCACCTGCAGCTCCATCCATCCGATGCTGCTGCTGTCGTGTGACGAGCACAGAGCAGCGCTGGCTTCAAGAAACCGGTCCGTCTCGTGGGGGAAGCGGTGGCGGTAGGCGCGGCGCTCGTCAGGGTTCATGAAGTGGTAGGCGGTGGGGCGCTGCTGCATGCGCACGTCCAACACATGTAGCTCCCCACTGCTCGTTTCGGTCTGAACACATGTAGATGTACCGAGGGGGGAAGAGGGGGGGGGATTGAGGTGAGATGAGGTGAGGTGAGAGAGTTGTGATCTGCACTCGGCGCTCATCGGGATTCATGAAGTGGTAAGCGGTGGGGCGCTGCTGCATGCGCACGTCCAACACGTGTAGCTCCTCACTGCTCGTTTCCGTCTGAACACATAGGCCAGGGTGGGGGGTGGGATGTGGTGTGAGTGGGATGAGGTGAGAAGGTTGTGCCCTCGTCAGGGTTCATGAAGTGGTAGGCCGTGGGGCGCTGCTGCATGCGCACGTCCAACACATGTAGCTCCCCACTGCTCGTTTCAGTCTGAATGAACACAAAAGCCCTGCGGGAAACGATGTGAGATGAGATGGGTAAGGTGAGAAGGTTGTGCTGTGCCCTCGTCGGGGTTCATGAAGTGGTATGCTGTGGGGCGCTGCTGCATGCGCACGTCCAGCACGTGTAACTCGCCACTGCACGTTTCCGCCTGTAGAGGGTAAACAGATACAAGATGTGATGATAGGATATGGGATGAGAGATGAGAGACTGGTGTGTCCCACGCTCATGGGGCTTCATGAAGTGGCAAGCTGTGGGGCGCTGCTGCAAGTGCATGTCCAACACGTGCATCTCCCCACTGCTCGTCTCACTCTGAAGGCGAGAGGGCACCGAGACGAGACGAGATGAGATGAGATGGAATGAGGTGCCAAGTACACGATAAGACTGAGAAACGAACCCACCAGAGCCATGTATCGTGACACGCCACAGGAGGCTGGGTCAGCGTGCATGCTGCGGGCGAGCCCCTTGACATTGACCCCGTCGGCATACGAGGATGACACGCCCTTGACACACTGAATTGAGGTGCCTCAACCAATGTACCCACCAGCGCCATGTATCTTGAAACCCCGCAAGAAGCCGGGTCAGCGTGCATGCTGCGGGCAAGCCCCTTCACGTTGACTCCATCTGCATACGAGGCGAGCGCCGCCACCACGGCGTCTTCCTCAAACTTGGGGCACGCCTGCAGCTTTCCCGGATGCTCCTGGAATGCCCACCGCCCGCCCTCCTCTACACACCTGGGAAGGGGGTGGAAATGGGGTGGAATGGAGCGCGCGCAAGGAGAAGCTTCTGTTGCTTTCATCATGCCACACACACTTCGCCTCCGCCGGCTGTGCTCTCTCTCCACGACAAAGTACTTCTATTTTCGAACGTCTCAAACCAGGTCACCACTGCTTTAGAAGCCGTCGCCTGCTGTACTCCCCCTCCACTATCGCCAGGACCCACACCAGCCGCCCCCTCATGTTCGCCTGCTTACCACACAACCCTGCTTACCACACAACCCTGCATATCACACAACCCGGCTTATCACACAACCCTGCTTACCACACAACCCGGCTTGTCACACAACCCTAGTTATCTTCATCACGCCACTCACCATTTCTTTAGAAGCCGCCGCCTGCTATACTCTCTCTCCACAATCGCCAAGAACCGCACCAGTCGCCCCTTCATGTTCCCCCCGGACATCAACAGCACCTGCGACAGCTTCCGCGCGTTCGCCCCCTCCGCTCCGCCTTCCCCGCCCGCTCCGCCCTTCACCTCCCCCTGCTTGAACCCCATTATCGTCTTCAGGTACTTCCGCGCAAAGGCCAACACCACCGCGCGCAAAACGGCCTCTTCCGCCGCTCCCCCGCCTCCGCTTCCGCCTCCACCTCCCGCGGCTCCGCCATCGGCGGAAGCCGCCCCCGCCCCCGTCGACCCCGCCGCCGCGAGATTCTCCCGCGCGAGCAGCACGATGCTCGTCGCGAGTCGCCAGACGTCGTACTGGTAGTCTGCGAACACGGATTCGTCGGTGAGCGACAGTCCGTACATGGGGCCCTCGCTGTCACTGCCTGACGCTGTGAACGACGACGTGGAGCAGTCGCCGACGATCCACGTCACCGTGCGGCTGTTGCCGAAACGCGTCAGGCGCTCGTCGCCGCTGTGCGATCGCGAAAGGGTATGCGCGGGCGGTGGGTGAGTGAGATGCAGATGAAACGAGATGCGTGGTAAAGGGATACGGGGAAACGGGATGCGAGGAATGCAAGTAAATGGAATGCGGGAAAAAGCGTCGCAAATAAGATAAGTCAAGATCATCTGAACTCGACGAGGAAATCGGGAAACTCAGATGATAAGGTAATACAATAAGGCAACTGCTTTGCGAGAGACTTTGACTGCATCCGAATGCACTCACCTTTGGTCAGCCCTGAGGAAATGAGCGCTTGAGAGCATCTGAGCTCAAGCACGTACCAACCCACTACCCGTTACAAGTTCACCCTACTCGATCACACTTCCTTTACCAGAAATTTCTCACCTTAGGTCAGCCCAGAACAGGTGATTGGTTCCTTGGAAGAAGGAAACTGGCGAGCGGCCAATAAGCGCGTATTTATGAGCCAAGGCGGACGACGGAAGGCCCTTGTTCCACTCCTCGACGGACGCGATCACGTGCATCTCGCGATCCGACATGGCCGGCCTCGCCATTCCGTTCTCCTGCTGCACCGCGTCGCTCATGACTGCGTGGAGCTAAGGGTCGGAAGGTCGGAGGTAATCTCTCGTTACGCTGCGTGGAACTACGGGTGTGAGAGAGGATCTTCTCGTGACGAGGCTGCGTGGAACTGATGGTTGAAGGGATAGGGATTAATCCCTGTGACAATCAGAGGGAGGTCATTGACGCATTTGTGGGCTGTGATCTGATGAGATAATAACGGATAAGCTTGTTGTCGGCCCCAATGCTCACTAGAAGGGATACTTTGAACGTGCGCGACTGACTTGAACGAGTCTAACCCAAGCAGGACCTGGCAGATGGGAGAAGCTCGGAATGACAACACTACAAAGTGAAGAACGATGAAACGGACAAACGAAATCCTAAATTATGAGCGACATCGTTTCATGCCTCCACCGAAGGCCGATTACCGTCGCAGACATGAATAAGATTGAAGCCAGTAGAGGCGATCGACAGTCCTACTAAGCTGTTTGTTGTAGCAGTCGAGTCGAAGGTTATGCCTTAGGCAAAGTGCGAGAAACTTGACTGGTTGTGCGAGTGGAATCTGAGAAACGAACTTGTCATGGCAGGCAAAAATCTAGGACTGACACGGTCTTTCACTACGGTTGTGTATGGTACGTTGCGCTTCAAGGCGGTAGAGGGCGAAAACCGTTTACCATCTGAACAACTTTTGAACCACACTGGACAAGTACAGAAATGCGCGGGACAATCCCAATGCCAGTGGATGAAATCATAATTGAAAGCGTGTTCACACATGCTAGAAGCAATAGTGATTTTGCGATAATTAGTCGACCAAAATCTGTGATTCTGGGCAAGCGGGCAAGCCCTGAGCACATCGAGCTTGTCCAAACTCCTCACAGAAAGAAGGCGCACTAGTCACATAAGGTCACTGAACGGCGTCGAGGCAGTTGCGAGGGAACGAAGACGATTTGTTCAGAGACTGCAGGGGATCTGAACTGAACCCAGCGGAAACTCGATAATAGCATTTTGACGTTGTGAATCTGCCTATCATGTAGATTCACAAGAGAAAGTACAGTTCCACGCCAAATATTTCGATTATGTATTCGTAAACATGCATGGAATCTGGAGGAATTCTTGCCAATGACATTGCGACGACAACATTCCCTACGTCTGAAATTTCTCCCCCCAACTCAAATAAAGTCGCTTGATTTTACAAATAACCTGCCTGATTTCGTAAGGAGGACTATCGTCGTCGTTATCTGTCCGTTTCTCCTCCAAGCTCCCGGTGTCGTTCCCGCGCTGCGCACAATGAATCCCACGTCGCACCTTGCGGTATCGCGAATAAGACTTATACCATCGGCATTCCAAGCATCCCACCATTCCGGAACCCAAACCGCAGCGAATCGACCATGCGCCATAATCCTCTCGTCAGAAGCACACCCGTTAGTACAAGCCCGTTCGTCTCTTGATGCGCCTCTCGAGAAGCACCCTCGAACAGCGTGGCCGCGGCGTGATATGCGGCGTGAAATGCGCCGCGACACGCGGGTGCGAATCTCGAGCATGGGCGGACCGCGAGGATCTGGAGCGCCCGGGGGAGCAGGGGAGGCGAGCAGCCAATCAGACGCGGACGCGTGGCGGGAGCTGCTGCGGGGCGGGGAGGACGTGGCGCAAGTCATGTCTGACATGGCTAACATCGTAAGAGCGCATGCTGGCTTGCGCTGAATCCTTCATGTTCACACTGTGGATTGAACCCTGAACCCTGCACCTTGAGTATCTGACCCCCAATCCCTGAATCTTGAATTCTAAACCTTGAGCTTACGGAGCTGCGGCAGGGCAGGGAGGACGTGGCGCAAATCATGTCTGACATGGCGAACATCGTAAGAGCTCATGCTGGCTTGCATTTGATCCCCTTCACACTAAGACTCGGAACCCTGAACCTTGAAACTAAACCTTGAAACCTGAACCTTGGACGACACGATCTCAGCTAGATTAGATATCAGGCCTTGAAGGCCGGGAGGAGGAGTTGGCAGTGCAAATCGCGGCAGCAATAGCCATAACGATAATTCTTCCCGGCCTCCCTCTTTGTGCAATCCACCCACACACTCCGAACCCAGCTGGACGAGATTTCGGGCCTAGAGGGGCGGGAGGAGGAGCTGGCAGTGCAGATGGCGGCAGCAGCAGCCATAGCGGGGCGAGTCAGCACTCTCGACCAGTCGTTTCTTGTGGCTCTTGAGTTCATGATGGGGCAGGCTGACGCTAACAACGACTCCAAGGTGTGTCTAGGCGAGGGGGTAAGGTGGTCACAGCATGGGTTGGGTCGTTCATGGTGGCCCTTGAGTTCATGATGGGGCAGGCTGATGTCAACAACGACTCCAAGGTGAGTTTAAAGAAAGGGCAGGGGGTGTAGCAGTCACCACTATGAATTTGAGTAAGAGTGCTCCATCAGTCGTTCCTGATGGCCTTTCTGAAGTTCGTTTTGGGACGGAGAGACTCTAGTATCTAGTAACTCTCTTGAGAATTCTAAAAAGCGGCACATTTGGTGGTCAAGTGAGAATATATCATATAAACATGTGGCCACATTTTCTTGTCGATCACATCCAACCAACCCATCATAGCATGAAAGAGTGGGTGAGGGATGTGCCAAACCTAACATTCAGGCGTATCGGAAGTTTAGGTAAGACAGGCATGTTTGAGGTGATTCACGATAAGGCTACAGGAGAATATGTGGTGAGATTTCAGAAGACCTTAATATCAGTAGTGTTTAGAAATATATTGGATGGTTTTGAAGTTGGTAAAAACAACTGAATTGCTACATGTTATTTCCCAATATCAGGTTCTCTTTGCTCTGCTCGTGCCTTCACTACGCCGGAGCAATGGATAAGCACTTCGTGTGCGGAGAGAGGAATGTGCAGATTACAATGCGAACAATGCAAGGAATGTGCAGATTACAATGCGAACAATGCAAGGAATGTGCAGATTACAATGCGAACAATGCAAGGAATGTGCAGATTACAATGCGAACAATGCAAGGAATGTGCAGATTACAATGCGAACAATGCAAGGAATGTGCAGATTACAATGCGAACAATGCAAGGAATGTGCAGATTACAATGCGAACAATGCAAGGAATGTGCAGATTACAATGCGAACAATGCAAGGAATGTGCAGATTACAATGCGAACAATGCAAGGAATGTGCAGATTACAATGCGAACAATGCAAGGAATGTGCAGATTACAATGCGAACAATGCAAGGAATGTGCAGATTACAATGCGAACAATGCAAGGAATGTGCAGATTACAATGCGAACAATGCAAGGAATGTGCAGATTACAATGCGAACAATGCAAGGAATGTGCAGATTACAATGCGAACAATGCAAGGAATGTGCAGATTACAATGCGAACAATGCAAGGAATGTGCAGATTACAATGCGAACAATGCAAGGAATGTGCAGATTACAATGCGAACAATGCAAGGAATGTGCAGATTACAATGCGAACAATGCAAGGAATGTGCAGATTACAATGCGAACAATGCAAGGAATGTGCAGATTACAATGCGAACAATGCAAGGAATGTGCAGATTACAATGCGAACAATGCAAGGAATGTGCAGATTACAATGCGAACAATGCAAGGAATGTGCAGATTACAATGCGAACAATGCAAGGAATGTGCAGATTACAATGCGAACAATGCAAGGAATGTGCAGATTACAATGCGAACAATGCAAGGAATGTGCAGATTACAATGCGAACAATGAAAGGAATGTGCAGATTACAATGCGAACAATGCAAGGAATGTGCAGATTACAATGCGAACAATGAAAGGTTAACAATGAGATAGCAACGTTTACGTATCTTGTTGAGCTTTTAACCCTTCATTGTTCAACAGTGAGATAATCTGCTACCTCCTCTCCCCGCATGCGAAGTGCTTCTTCCACTTGTTGGTAAACGCATGAGCAGGAGGGATTTGATTGCGGGAAACATGGTAAACCAACTTCAAAACGATCTGATAAGATGCAGGGGTCTTTTTTGAAATCTTACCACATATTTACCTGTAGCCTTGTCTTGAGACACTCCAAAGATGCCTGTCTCAAGACATCTTCCCCTTCCCATGCACCTGTAGCCTTGTCTCGAGACACTTCAGGATGTGCCTCCAAAGATGCCTGTCTCACATAACCCCTTCCCATGCACCTGTAGCCTTGTCTTGAGACATTTCAGGATGTGCCTCCAAAGATGCCTGTGTCACATAACCCCTTCCCATGCACCTGTAGCCTTGTCTTGAGACACTTCAGGATGTGCCTCCAAAGATGCCTGTCTCGCATAACCCCTTCCCATGCACCTGTAGCCTTGTCTCGAGACACTTCAGGATGTGCCTCCAAAGATGCCTGTCTCACATAACCCCTTCCCATGCACCTGTAGCCTTGTCTTGAGACACTTCAGGATGTGCCTCCAAAGATGCCTGTCTCGCATAACCCCTTCCCATGCACCTGTAGCCTTGTCTCGAGACACTTCTGGATGTGCCTTCAAAGATGCCTGTCTCACATAACCCCTTCCCATGCACCTGTAGCCTTGTCTTGAGACACTTCAGGATGTGCCTCCAAAGATGTCTGTCTCACATAACCCCTTCC